TTATTGTTTTTTTTTTTTTGTTATTTTTTTTTTTTTTTTTTGGTTAGCAATAAAATATCAATTATTGAATTCGTTGTTAATTGTTGTTGCTCCCAAAGAAGTACAACTACATATATAATATATGATTCCTAAAGAGCTTATATTTGTAAATAACAAATATTTGTTGCTCCTACAGTAGCACAATATTATAATTGATATTTGAGAATAATATTACTTGCTGATGAAGAACATGTATTATGACTTTCAACATTCCAGAAGAATATTAACATATTGTTCTTGAAGAAGTAATAGTAAAAAACAGCGTGCTCTCGAAATAACACATATTTCGAAAAATATATTATTTTAAATTAGTATTTATCATTAAAGGAAAACACGTAACTTATGTCATATTGATATTGATTACTTGATTAACTATTATGTGATGTTTAATTATATTTTTTGAAACTAATTGTATTTCATTTTGCTTTATTGTGTAGCTAATCAAATGAGAAATATTACAAAACTTGAATTTGTTGTACCTGACGTATTTGGCAAAAATTATCTATCATGGATGCTCGATGTTGATATTCATCTAGCCTCAAATGGTTTGGGACAGACGATAAAGGAAGGAAACAAAGAATTCCTATATGATCATGCAAAATCACTAATCTTCATTCGTAATCATCTTCTCAATGGATAGAAAATTGCATATGAGTAGATGCATCTTCATGTGCAAAACCTCAAAACTGTTAATGAGTATAATTTTGGACTGTTCACAATTGTTCAAAATTAACTTTGTGTGGAGAAAAAATCACTGATAAAGATATGTAAGAGAAAACTTTTTCCACCTTTCGCGTCTCGAATGTGCTCCTCCGTAGCAATATTGTGAGTGTGGTTTCAAAAAGTACTCAGAACTCATATCTTACCTGCTTGTGGTTGAACAAAATAATCATGGGTTATGTCCAACTGATTCTTTATCATTACCAGAAGCAAATAGTACTTCATTGTCTGACGAAAATGTAATATCAAGACAAGGACATGGATACGGATTTGGACATGGACATAAACATAGACGTGGAATAAATTATGGACGAAATAATCAACAAAACTATCAACATGACAATAATTTCAAAAGATACAAAGCAAACGAAAGTAGCACATCCAAAAATGAGCACAAAGAAATTTTCTTTAAATGTGGAATGAAAAGATATTGGATACTTACCAGTCGTACGGCAAAAAATTTCGTGAATTTCTACAAAAAATCAATCAAGGAAAAAAGAAAAGTTGAGAGAAGTTTTGCTGATTATGATGATCCAATTAATTTGACTCATTTAGATGTCTCTGATTTCTTTCTTAATCTAAATAGGAATATTGATCATTTGATTGATGGTGGTATGGTGGAAAATATAAATTAGTTTAATTTCTAGTGCTTTCCTTTATTTTAGAAATTCAATGTAAAATATGTTTTTATTTTTAGTAAAAAATTGAAACTTTATTATGCATCGTTAATTTGATAATATTTAATTATGTTTACTCTTTTAAATTTAAATTCAAGATACATGCTTAATTGATAGTGCAACTACATATACTATTATTCAAAATAAAAAATATTTTTTGACTTAACATTAGCAGAAAATAATATTAATGAGATATCGGGTGCATCGAATATCGTTCAAGGCTCCGAAAAAGCTTGCATCATTTTTTCAAATAATATGAAATTATATATTGACGATGCACTTTATTCTAACAAATTTAGAAGAAATTTACTTAGTTTTAAAGATATCCACTACAATGAATATCACATTGAGACTATATAAGAAAAAAATGTTGAATGACTTTGCATAAGTTCTTTTGTATCGGCTAGAAGAAGATAAAAGCAAAACTTTATGTACTCTCATCTGACATGTATTATACATTTATAAAAATGGTCGAATCAAATATTATAACGAACTAGAAGTTCATTGATCCAAATTTTTTTATACTTTTGGATGATTAATTTGGACATACAGGAGCTATAATGATGCATCGAATAATATAAAAATAGTTGAATCAAATATTATCACGAACCAGAAGTTTGTTGATCCAAAAAGTTTTATACTTTGACATGATCAATTTGTACATCCAACTCAAAGACATTGGAATAGTTAAACATATTTTTCGTTACCTAAATGGTGCTGTTGATTTGAGATCATTTTATTCTCAAAAAGTCGAGATATGCTTTATCTATTCGACGCACATAAAGTTAAATCACAAACTGGATATGTGTTTACACGTGGAGGAACAATTATGTCATGGAGATGTGTGAAGCAATCATTGACAATAACATCCTCAAATCGTTATGAAATTATTACAATCCATGGAGCATGTCGAGAATGTGTATGGTTGAGGAACATGACCTATCGTATCCAAGTATCATGCGGATTAACTTCAAGAAAAGATAGTCCAACAATTTTGTATGAAGACAATATTGCTTGTATTGCATAACTCAAAGGATGTTATATCAAATGTCACAAGTCGAAGCATATTTTTTCAAAATTCTTTCATGCACATGAATTTCAGAATAATTGCGATATCGATGTTCAACAAATTCGCTCAAGTGACAATGTGATTGATTTATTCACAAAAGCATTGTCGACATCTATATTCAAAAAATCGGTTCACGTGAAATGAGTCGACTAAAAAATTTTCAGTAATTAACATTAGGGAGAGTATATATACTCTTTTTCCTTCACTTAGATTTTGTCTCACTGAGTTTTTCTAACAAGATTTTAATAAGACAATATTTATCTTCAATAATTCAAAACAATTGTATTCTTTTTTCTTCGATTGACTTTTTTGTCCCATTAAATTTTTATCAAACAATATTTTAACTAGAAAAATATTTTATAATGTGTTATTCAAGATGTTGTGTTGTAAATTTATTAGTGAATGACAATTGTACTCTATAGTCCTATAAATTACTCTCATTGTATTCATAATCCATCCATATAAAATTAGGACTTTGATTCTCATTATAATATATTGAATTCTCTCATTATTCCCTCTTTTTATAACAAACTGTTGGTTTATTGGTAATTAGTATAATAAATGCCTTCTCTAATCTGGTTTGCAGCCTATTGGCTGGCCAAATACTTGCTCTCAACTTGGCTGACCCACAAGTTATGCAATCATTTTTGGCCTTTTATGAGACATCATTTTTTTTTTATTTGTTGTTATCTTTGTTTTTTGACTTGATGACATAAGAGAGAGCATTTTATAAAGTTCAACAAGCTATTAACTTTTAAAAATTTCGAGTGACATAGTGATAAATTAGATAACATTTTATAATTCAACATCAACTGAAAAAATAAAAGACACTTTGGAGAGCTTTTAAAGTTTAAAGCCAACTGACAAACATTTGAAAAAGTTCGCTAGCAATTGAGATATTTAACTTCCTGTACTCACCAGCAAATGAACAAGACAAGAGATGGTAGTATATTGAATTATAAATTTTGAATACTAATGACTTGAAATTTTTGCTACTTCTTATGTCATCATCTTCTATTAATCGAAGAACTCAAATAATTCGACTCTCAATGGGTCTTTTTCTTATATCTATAAGAATTATCTCTACAGATTTATCATCATACTCAAAAAATGTTCCACTGAACTTTCTATACTTACGAGAAATTTCACAAGTCTTATAAACAAGGTAGACAAGAA